CATCGCGAGAGGCCATTGGGTCCGTTGAATCGCGACATGACAAGTGGCTGCTGCAGCGGTCGGTCTTGGGTCTGAAGGGCTGTCGGTGGTCATCGGTGGTCGGCCGATGGAAGACCAACTTCAGCAGAAAACCTGCCAGTGTTGTCTTGTCATGCTCCCAAACCCCACCAGCCTAACCGTGAACTGAATGGGCTTCCACGCGGCCCGCCTCTGGCAATTGGCCGGCCTCTCTTCCCTCGCCCGTTATAAGTAGCTGTGAGTGGTTGCACGCGGTTGCCAGTGGCCGGCGGACCACAGAAGGGCACAATGCGCTGTCGATCGCTGCAGTTCGATAAGGTACCCAGGACGCGCATCTACTGGCTACCGATTTTCTGGCAGAGGCCGGCTGCCAAATACCTGCTTTGCTCAGCCGTGTTGATGTCAAGGCCAACAACGTCAACTGCAACAGCGCAACCGCAGCAGCAGCCGTAAATCCTGGATGGGGGCCGGGCAAATGTCCGCCATGATATGATGCAGATGCATGCCATTAGGTTAGCACACAGATCCTATCTGGCCGGACAGGGGAGGGGCCTGGACACCAAAAGGGAGCCAGGTCCCGCCATCTCACTCATCGCGGCCTTTTCGGTTTTTTATGGTGTCGCTCACCCTGTTTTTAGCTTCGCTTGCTTGCTGGGCCTCCTTTCGCGTAATTTACCGCGGCCTTGTTAGCTTCTTCCGTCATTTGCTCGACTCCCAACAGCATCCCCCCAGGTGCCTTCCAGGTGCCCTCCAGGTGCCTGACTCTTTTCGGCCGAGTCTTTTCGAGTTTTTGGCATTTGGCTCTCGATCCATTCCGCAATCCCCCCCCTTTCCTCTCTTCAACGACATCAAACCTCCATCATCGGTCGGCCGGTCGCTCGCTCGCATCTCCACTGTTTAGGTCCCGAGGGAGAAACTTACATTCGCTACATTACATTGATTTCGCATTATCGCATTTACTTTCTTTTCCGACATTTTCACGCAATCCGCTACACGATAAGGCAGGGTGTCGTCGACACTACTCACCGCCGTCAGCCGTCAGCCGTCAACCCAGCTCGAACTCGTAAATCCCAGCCATTCAATTGCCTTGCTCCCACATTCGTTCACCCACGTTCAATCGTACCACGTACTGCCGTACACCCTATTCTAAATAATACCGATTCGAAGCATTCTTCGATTTGTTTTACCGCCACTGTTTCCAGCCGGGCGCTATTTTTGTTCCACCCACGGTCGCTAAAACCAGCGAAGCGCGGCATCTTGAGACACTTGACATCAGATCAGGGGTTTCCCATCGCCGTATCCGTCCCGTCAACTGTCAGCCCAACGACCGTTCCCGATTCCTGCCACTGCGACAGACGCGCGCCCCCCGCCGTGCTGCGCATTCTCCACCCGACCCTCAACTCGGCCCAGACAGCTGCATCTTGAGTCTGGGGAAGCAAGTCGGTCGACGCCATCGACCACCAGAAAGAGGCCGGCTCCTCTCTTCGCAAAGCTGCCAACAGAAACACCCTATACCCCCCTCCCCCCCCCCCAAAACGCCATGCGAAGATGATGCTGTACGAGCGACCCGTTCACGATATTGTCTCGCCCGCCCCGAGCTCCCCACCAGGCATGACGGCTTCTAAATCCTCAAAGTCGTCTTCCCTAAACTCGATCGGTTCCGACGATAGCAGTGTCCTTGCCGATGCCGCCCATTTCGAGGACATCGGACTCCATGACGACGCCCAGCTCGATCCCCGGCATTTGTCCGACCAGCACATGAAGGCTGCGCCAAATCCCTACAGCCCCAATTTCTCTTCCGACCTACGTGCTGCCACCGCCTCCCGAAGACACGCTTCAGCTTCTGCTCCCCGCCTCCAGTACTCGCGCGACTCGTCCAGGAACCGTCAGAAGCGAGATTTCTCTCCTTTGGCGAACAACAAGACACGACCAAACTTCCCCAGCCTGCAGACCCAAGTCCGTGGCGCCAATGGCCGAGCCGTCAGCTTGGGTCTTATGCCCGAGCCCTACTTGAACCCTCTGCCCTTCCGCACCCTAGGAGGCCGATCAGCACAGACTCTCCCAGGGCGGAACCGGAGTCCCAGTCCGAATCTCTCCATATCTCTATCCCCGAGGGATCCAAGCCAACTCGCTAAGCCGAGGAGGAGTAGCTGGCAGTCCAATAGGGAACGCAGGAAAAGCGCTTTGGAGCTGGAACTGGAGTGTGACGAAGATGATGGTGATGATATTCCGGACGGACTCGTTTTGGACAACGTCCCTATTTCACCCAGGCCGCCACAGGAGCGCGCCAAAAGCCAGCCCTGCTCCAAGGCTCCGTCGCCAGAACGGGGACCCAAGGAGAGGGTACGGAGTGTGGGAAAGAGTGTCGGAAATGGAACACCACCAGTAGCCATCGCGCATGGATCCCTCCGATCACCGACATGGAAGTCAGAGTCAGCCCTGTCGGCGCTCAGCTCGGCTTCATCGAGCAAATCCACAAGTCCCGTTACGACGAGAGCTAGGAGTTGGAATGCCGCCCTATCCGAGCTGAACGCCGAGGCCAAGGCATTGACCGAGAAGCTGGAAGAACATGCCGGGGAGTTGGAGCACAAGACACAACGCTCGAGCACCGGGTCCATGCCGACCGCCAGGAAGTCCTCAGATCATGACGCAAAACCCCGAGTGAAGTCGGCCCTTGCCGAGCTCCCACCACTGCGCCGCACCAACATCATGATTGACCCGCTGCCTATTTCCAAGGAGAAGGAAGCCGTCCTGTCCCGGACGCGGCCTTCGTGGCTTCCACCAAAGGATCCCGCTGAGGAGCGCCGTCACCTCAAGGAGTACCAGAAAATGATGACCCAAAGCATTGAAGCCGAACGACGACGTGACGCAGCGAAACGCGCACGCTCCGAATGCCGCGACACTGCCGCAGATTCCCTGATGCAGATTTGGGAACACGACATCTTGCCTCGGTGGAATGAGGCTAGGCGAGAACGCCGGACACGGGATCTTTGGTGGCAAGGCATTGCTCCCCGCAGCCGGGGAGCTGTCTGGGCCAGGGCTATCGGCAATGAGCTTGGTCTCACCAAGACTTCGTTCCAGGCTGCTCTTGGCCGCGCTCGCGACGCCGAGGAGAGGGCAAAGACTGGGCATGGGAGTGCCGAGGACTCTCGCGCTGCCGCCTGGTTCGAGTCGATCAGGAGAGATGCCCAAGACAACACCTGGGCGGATCTGCGCATCTTCCAGTTCGGAGGTCCCCTCCACCAAAGCTTGGTCGACGTGTTGAGTGCTTATGCCATGTACCGGAGCGACATTGGTTATATCCAGGGCTGCAATGTAAGTTACCATGATAAATATCCCGTGTTGTCAGCATGACGAAACTAACGCGAACCTTGCAGACGATCGCAGCGCTGCTTCTCCTCAATCTCCCCACCCCCACCGATGCATTCATCGCGCTGGCCAACGTTTTAAACCGATCTCTGCCGCTAAGCTTTTATGCATCTGATGCCGGCGCCAAGTCATCGGCGTATAATCTACTCCTTCAGACCCTCGCCGTCAAAGCCCCCAACCTCCATAGCCATCTTGTTCAATTTGAGGATCACGACCCCGACTTCTATCTCCGTGACGTCTTTACTGGATTGTTCACTGGCCATCTTGCCCTGGACCAAGCCGCTCGCCTCTGGGATGTATATGTCTTCGAGGGCGACGCCGTGCTCGTCCGCGCCGGCGTTGCTCTGCTACTCCAGAAGGAGATGGCCCTTCTCGGTACTAGTAGCCTTGATGAGGTTAAGAGAACTCTCAACCATACCCTCGACGGCAAGAAGGTCCCGCGGGCTGTCGGCGGGAACGGTGAGGAAGATATGTGGATGCGTGCAGTCAAGGAAGCCGGAAAGTCCTGAACGACGGCCAGACTGCGCCAGCTAATAATACACAACAACACGGGGAGGGGATACACAGGCATGAACCCCCCAATGCCGTCATGATACCACACACCAATTCGTTATATAAAGCAGGGGGCGAAAGGGCAACTCGACATACGATACACCCAAAGAGCCGGCGTTTTTACTTTACTTCTTTTTAGTCGCCACGTCCCCCTACTTTACTTTTTCTCAATGGCCGCAGCATTTTACCGGGAATGGGTTATGACGACGACTACCGGGTGGTATCTACTTTTCTTTTACCTGTTTGACATATTTTTTGTCTAATTACTTCTTCGCCGGAGGTCCTCGGCCGGCAACACTGCCCGCTGATATTTAAGCACCTTATTGTCTATAACTTAATCTCTTCAATACCTGCCACCCGGCCGTGGCGTTGTTGGATAGTCTGGGTTTTTATCTGCTTGGAAGAAGGAAGAGCTCCCTTGGTTCTATCTAGGCGTGTATTTAGGTGGGTTTATATATTGGGAGGCGGAACTTGGAGGACGAAAGATTATATGGGATGTTGGGCTATTGCTCCTGTCATTTGTTGCCTGGATTGCTGGGTCGGAATGGCAGGGAGGGTTATAAATTCAATGTATAGAGACAATGGTGAGGGACGGTTTTGTGGTGTTTATTGTTCGGAAGGAGGCACTTAAAAGTATATACTGTCGATAGCTGGGCTGCTTTGTTGGGTGAGAGTGGGAAAGAGAAAGGGCGGGATGGGAGAAATCGAAAATGGTTTATTCTGTCTTGCACGATTGGGGTTCCATGCCATTGTGAACTGTGAACTGAGATCTGACGTGTGACATTGCGCGGCTGCTGACAGGTCTGACCTGACAGGTGAATACGCTGGGTAAGGTACCCGCAGCTGGGTTGAGATGTCTCAGCGGGGGGCAATTCCGCATGCATGGAGGAGAGATCGAGACTCGCAGGGCCGAATTGCTTCTTTCACGAAATATCCCCCAAAAATTGAGCAGTAACGCAATTCGAAAAGGTCAGTGTGTTTGTTGCTGCCATGTTGCAAAGCGGAACTCGCAAAAACCGAGCTCGACCCGGGCAAAAAAAAAAAAAAGAAGTTAAAAAAGAAGCCCACTGCCAGGGTCGAACTAGCTACCTTGTCATGGCCCATTCTTGGTACAAGTGACACGCTCTACCGATGAGCTAAGCGGGCGGTGTTGATTGTATTTGATGACAATTCACTTTCGAATCGTCGCATTTATCGGGCGAGGGCGCTTGTGGATTTGGGAAATTTTGGCATTTCTGGTGGATGTGTGTGTGTCTTGTTGGGTGGAGCTTTGTGTGGAGGGAGGCTCATCAGCAGATGATGCAAGAGGAATGTACGGAGTGATTGATGTAGCAGGTCATGAATTTCCTCGTTCTGGTTGGTTTCTATGGTCACAGTGGGTGAAAGTGCAAGTAGAATATGTGCTTGTTCTTTTTCGCCCTCCCAGCTTTTTGGTTGAGAGATCTCGCAAAAAGAATCGCCGAACCCTGACGAACATGATGCTGTATGTGCCCCTAGTCGGGGTAAAATAAGAATGTCCCGTCGTCACCCTCCCATTTTCCGAAAACCCCATTATCATACCCATTATTCCCCGGGTGCGCATCCCGCCATAAAATCCTCACATCGTGTCGTGTTGGACGGGTATCAAAGTCAACGGCGCCGTTTGCCTTTCCAGTATCACAGCTCCCACACCAGCTCAATAACCTCATCCGGGCCACTCGCATCCTCCCACGCCTCCCCAAGACTGTGCACGTAGAATTGTCGAAACACCCTCCCCTCCCCCTCGACATCCTCCACCACCGCATCCTTGAGCAGATAGCTCTTTTTCTCCTTCCTCTCCAACTTCTCCCGCAGCGTGCCATACGCCATGTCAAAGTCCCTCGTCGGGTGCAGCCACGTGCCCTCCACCCTCGTGAGATCGAGCTTGTCCAACACCCCCTTCCGATAGACGGCAATCGAATACCCGTTCGCCAGCACCGTGTCGTCCCCGAGCCGCCACCGCTGCAGAAAACAATCCCCACACACGGCAGTCGCGACCCTCGCCATGGCCGCCACGGGCGCGCGGTACCAGCTCTTCCAGTGGTGCAGACTCAAGACGTGCGGGGCGCTCTCGAAGAAGCCCGACGGGTCGCCGCGGAAGTCGTGCTGGTACAGGCCGGGCACGATGGTCAGCACCGCGCGCGACTGCGAGTAGATGCAGTCCCTCAGGATGCCGTCGCCCGTCTCGGTCGTGGCCTCGCGCAGGCAGCGCTCCGACTGGGGCGCCACGAGCTCGGCGAGGGGCACGCTAATAAAGACGCCCGCGCCACCGTACGCCATGTAGCCCCAGTTGCGAATGGACTGGAAATCGTCCGAGAGGGCGCCGAGCCAGAGCGGGGTGGTGTGGTCGTGGCGGGCCAGCTCGGCGTCGAGGGGGTAGAGGGACGGGAAGAAGGTGTCGTCGTCGAGGATGGCAAGCCACTCTGTGACGCCCGGGGTCGCGAGGGCGAGGAGTTCTTGGACGAGGAGGAAGTGGTGATGTTCCATGAGCGGCGGGGCTGTCGGCTCGCCCTTCTGGCCTTGGCGATAGATGCGCTTCTTCATCTTCGGGCCTGTGAATGTAGCTAGAACGCCGGCCGATTTGTAGACTTCTTCGAGCTTGGTCAAGTTGTAGTTGGACCGCTTCTCGTCGGCGTCGGCGATGATGCCGACGAGTTGTGCGCCCGTCCCCGAGAGCCAGTGCGAGAAGGCTGGAAGGGAATCCCGGATGCGATCGTACGTCGAAGCTACGCCGAAGATGAGGTGAGGGTACTCTTTTGAAGGGTATACTGGGGACACCTGCAACGGAAGGTCATCACAAGGAGGGAGCTCGGGGATGGCGCAGTCGCTCAGGTTGACGTTCGTTTTGCCCGTGATGAGCGGTCGGGTGATGTTCGCGACGACATTGCGGTCGGGCTTTCCAAAGGTCGGCTTGATACACCGTCGAGAATAGACGATATTGGTCGTGAGGCCCAGCTCTGGCCGTCGCAGATATTCTATCTCTGGGACGTTGCACATGCCGGGCTTCCATTTCGGCCGGACCGCACCGGGCTTGCCATGCTTTGCAATACCGAGAGCGGCCGATGCTAGCTCCGACGAGCGATCTCGCAGTCGGGACGACGTCCACCACAATGTGCCCACGATTAGCACTACCAAGACTGGCAGGCACCTCGAGAGGCGCGATGAGGCGGATATCATCTGCATGGCATTTCGGCGGAACATGTACCTGCCACCCATGGGGCCCTGGCCGTGAGCGCGTGTTCCTTCCTCGAGCCGCAACGGTCGAAACGCAGTCGCTGAGCGACAGGAGCAGGTTCTACGAAAAGGGGAAAATAAGAAAGAAAAAGAGGGAATGGGAAAAGATTGCTTGTGACAGCCGCAAATGGAAGCTACCGTCTCAAATGTAAACCTTGGCCCGAGACGCACGCCGGGAGTGTTCTCCTTTGGATAAAAGGTACACGGCAGCGGGCCAAGGCAAGTCAATAGCGAGGTACCGGACTTTCATGCGCGTACCCTTCCACCTGGGAAAAGCATCCGGTTTCTCAAAATCGGTCGATTGTCGTGCAAACAGACCAGACCAAAAGAGAAGAAACGACAAACACTTCAAGCAATGGTGACTGACATCTCCCTGGTGGGGTGGGTTGCGGGAGACCCATCAAAATTCAGACGAACTACGGATCCCCTGGCAAAACCAAGCCCACACACGTGCGTGCTCACCTCCGCCCGCTCCCGGGGAGCACCTAGATTGACGGTTGGGAACTACTAGTTCAAGATAACCAAGGCTGTGATCGTTTCTAGGGTGGTGGGTGTATGGGCTGGCAGGTTGGCAGGTTGTATTGCTTAGGCGAAGGCAGTGGGCAGCAAGAAGGGCAACCTCAAATCTTAGAATTGCCCAATGGGGGTTTTTTTTGTGCGCCATGTATTTGGAGTTGCTTGAAACGGACCACTCTCCATGCACCCACGTTCTCCAATGCCTGTATTATTTCCCTCAAACAGATGGCGACACTTTCCTCTTGCTTGAGCGCATGCAGTGACCACGAAGCTGATACGACGATGTCCAGCCTGGATGGTGTACTTTTTGCATGTGTAATCGACCACCCTCAGGTGCAATGACGCCAGCTGGCTGGGCCTCTGCGGGGAAGCGTGAACTCGGCAGAGCTTGTCAGAACTTCTATTAGATAACGCGGGAAGATGCCGGCGTTTCGGGTTAGATCGCCAGAACCCGTAGTCGGGGACCTGAAGGCGGATGGCGCGTCCGGCTTTATCCATCCGAAGACACACACTGTCGCTTGTCCGTCGCTTCCCCTTTTTTTGCCCGTCGTTTGCTCGTCACCGCAATCTCAGATCGATGCGAAAAGTCGGCCCACCAATGCAGTGTCCTATAGCCCATATGCAAGCGCCCGCTGTCACAGAGGCATACCCGCAAACCAAGGGTAACCACTTGCCACCTTGGACCGGTGCGCCACATGTGCGCGTTGGCCCATTGGGCAGCACATCGCCAAAGGTCCCCCGGCAGCTCGCATGTGCATCGACGGTCCAAATTTACCGGCAGAATACCTGCTTATCAGTCTCTGGCAACAATTGTGGGGGATTATCGGATCTGCGGTATCATGCGCCGGAGCGTGCCTATTAGCCACAGGACTTCGAGACGGCCGTGGTTTTCCCCATCTTGTGACGTAATGCCTTTTTGCTTCCTGATCCCTCGCTGACTAGAGTCAACGGTCGAATTGGAAGTAATTAGCTAGGTCGATATGGCCGTCGGTTTCCAACAATGGGAAAAGGTTCAGCGCGCCAAATGCTTGATCTGCTTCGGGGTCGAGAAATCCGCCCACGGCAGAGAACGGTGTCGTTGAATCGGTCAAGCCAAGGAAAGTCGACTCAAAATCGAAATTGAAGCTCGATGACGGACCGTCAGGATGCGCTACCTCGTTTAGATTATCCACACCCTTTCCAGCAGTGCTTTCGGTGATGTTTTGGCCATTAGGGAGACTTCGGCTCAAATTAGCATTCTCCTCACGGGACGCACGAGGAACAAGCCCAAAGAGCTGAGACGAGCTCTCTGTTCTTTCCAGCCTTTCCCGTATCTCCTTCTTCTCCAGATATTCCAAGGCCGTTGTGAGGAGGGACTTGGCAATGAGGGAGTACTGGACTGCGTGCGCATCTGCTTCCGCAAAGTACTCGAGAGCGGAGATAGAAGCACGGCAGTACTTTTCGATGATGCGGCCAAACCCCCCAAGAAGGCCGAGGCCAAGCACGAGAGAGGACGCAAACAGCCATGACCTGAAAGATGTGAGATGATGGTTGGTAAGTGGGCAAGGAGGACATTGACTTACACAATGACCGGCGCACGCTGTATCATCAAGCCTCGCTGAATCACATCCTGCACTGGCTCCACCATCAAGATTGCCGCATCAATACAGGCATCAGCAAGTTTCGACTTTCCAGAGACTTGGCCATTCCTGGTCGTCGAAACATGTCCCTCCGACAGCCTACGATGCAGCTCAACCATGAGAAAAGGACGCGAAACAAGAATCACGGCGTAGTAATACGAAGAGAGGACCTGGCAAGCGCCGTTGATGGTTTCGGCCTGTTTATCTGACGGACTTCCACCAGCAGCGTCCTTGAGTCGCTGCAGCCACCGGGTCGACCACTCTCGAAGCTCACGCGAGATGCCTTCTGTCAGCCGCGGCGATATCTTCCGCCGCGAGTAGACCTCAAGAACGATGGCCTCAGTGATGAGGAATATCTGCACAGATGCGTTGAGCAGGTCGAAGGTCTCTCGGCCATCAGCCCCTACTGCGCGGTAAGAAACCGTGCAGTCATTATCGGATGTTGCAGGTGGACGACCCATCGATGTGCTCAAGAACAGGTCCACAACCCGCAGGCTCTTCCACAGGCGATCCCTTTGCCTATGCATCTCCGGGCCGAACCTCGAGTTGACTGATGTCCTGTGGATGCCGATAGAGTGTGCGGCCCGTGCCGCAATGCCAAAGAAAAGAAAAGCGCCGTTGAGCTGACAAGCACCGAGCATATAGAGGGTAATGAGAATAAAGACTTCAACATTGCCGACGCCCAAGTTGCCGCCGAGACTCGCGGAAGCAACATAGTGAGCGTAGTCGAAGTACAGCTGCGAGGTGCTCTCATCGGTC